ATTGGAGTCAGGCCACAACTTTGGTAAGTTGTATCGCTGTAGTAACGATAGCGCTTCCCACTGACACGGCTGACTACGATGTCGACGAAATGTTTGGGAATGTACGAAGTCGACGAATACTATGGCAGAGGACAGAGGACTAGGTAAGTTTCGCAAGGTTTCCCTGGCTCTCAAAACAAGTTGCGAAAACGAGGTCGAATTAACTTTATAGAAAAAAAACAATTAGATACATATTCTAAATGCACAAGGCCAGAATGGGGATATGATACGTTGAGAAAAGTTCATTTCAGGGGCTAATGAAGTAATAAGTTACGAAAAGGATTAATGATGAAGGAAACAAGAAAGGTCTTTTAATAGTAAATTTTACACTCAAACAAATGATAATATTATGCCATTGCCTGGTTAACCGAGGTCCCTTAGGAGGATTTAATAACTGAAATTTGATTCGTCCCACAATGAGATGAGTAGGCTTAAAGATGCCTTTTAATTTTTTTCAGCCTTGCCCCAAAAAACTATAGCTCTTAAGGTAGACTGCAGTTTCAACCCTGCCTAGGTCTCAGCCACACCCAACGAGATTGATACTGAGTCGTGAGTATAATAGAGGCGCTACCATGCCACTACAAAGCCATAAGTGTCAGGTCACAGGGTAAATGTGACAATTAAGGCAATCAAGCCTCTCGCAAATAACATATATGGTAGAATTGTCGATTAAGCAAACATGTATATGAAAATGGAATTGATAATCTTATTAGTAATATGATATATCTCTAAACTCTGCTTATAAGCGAAAAATGTTATAAGTTTCGGGTTCGATACTGTAAGTATAAGCAAAAAATTAGACAACCTCAGTCACATATGGTGATTTAAGGATTGATAATTGAGTTATCACACAATCATATGAATAGGCCTCATGGGAGGCAAAGGTAAGTTAATCGAATGTATAAAGACCAAGATGGTGTGGCTTTTTGTGTGATCTCAGTCTTCTTTCGTTGTATAGAAGTTGCTTGACCTTGTTTTCGCAACTCTGTCATATTGTTAGGGCGACTTAAAGAAACGCACCTTGTCCGGAGTCCATTGTATGCATTATCATTTCCAGGTAGGACCGTGGACATGATACATTCCCAGACGTTTCGCCGGCATCGTCAGTGAGTCTCGCCATTCGTAAAACCATATTACAAACTCGTCTTCTCCCTTTGATGAGTTTATAATATGGTGTTATGAATGGCGAGACTCACTGACGATGCCGGCGAAACGTCTGGGCATGTACCAAGTCTACAATCCTACTCTGGAAATGATAATGCATACAATGGATTTCGGACTAGGTGCGTTCCTTTGAGTCTTCCTACCAATATGACCGAGTTGCGAAAACAAGGTCAGACAACAACTATAAAAGTAAGTTAAATTCAATGGCGTCCTTAGGCCTTTTTATGCCATTGTGGAAAAACTCAAATATTAGTCCTTAAATCACCTTAAGAGACCTGGAGTCACTAAGCTGTTATTCATGGATGACTGATAGTCTACATACTTGAACCAAAATAAAATCCAAACATGTATAAAAACCAACAAAAACTTAGGATAAGATCAAGTGTTCACGGAGATACAAACCCTTAGAGACTCCAACTCCATTGTCAGCCCATTCACAATATCCCGCATGTCGGCTATCTCTCGTCTCATAACCTCGAGATCATCAGAAACTTTACGAAAAGAAGCCTGTCCCATTGTCGTCTGACGCAAAGACTCGGAGCGTGTCTGTCGATGCAAAAGAAGCATGACAAATGTCAAGTTGCGTATTGCCGTGATTGCTGATATAGGCTGTCCAATTAGCCCAGAAGATGTTTGGCAGGGTGGACTCAGCTGTTGTAGCAATTGATGGTACTGATTCTGGGAGATTGTCGAAGGACTGCTGGTATCGAGAAAAGAAGCCAGGACGGAAGAAGATGAGCCAGACACTAAGGTTGGTTGCTGATTTGGCAGGCTGGCAGAAGCGCCTAAAGCCGAGGTGCCGCTCGTAGGAAGCTGTGCTGTTGGGGCATTCTGACCGAATAAAAGTTGCTCCAAAAGACGTGTAAAAGCAGCAGACTCAGTGGCAAAGCCAGACTGGATAGCGGTACTGGATGTAGATATAGCAGTTGGCGGCTCCATTAAGTTGAATGGTTGATGGGCTGAAGAAGCTGAGGAGCAGGGCAAAAGCGGTGGCGGCAAGGAAGGAGATGAAGAAGAGCCACAACCGCCACTGCTACTCGGCGGGGGGACCCCTGGATTAACTGGCTGGATTGATAATCCCAAAATACTGACGAGAAGATGTAGTGTATCAAGAGCACTGTTGCTGCCTGATGGGGCGCCATTCGAGTTCAGACCACCAGATAGAGATGTAGGAGGCAAAGAGGGAAAGCCATCAGAGGCAAGACCAAAGCTCGTGGCGACAGCGGCCCCTCCTCCTGATGAAACACTTGCTGTGTTACTACGAGCACTGGGCAACGTGTCACTAGTCCTAGCAGGTTGGTATGCTCGATTGCAGTGTTCCTTAAATTGAAGAAGTAATCATGACCCAAAAAAGGAAAAAGTTACGAAAAATCATTAAAAAAATATTTGGGACAAATCAAGTGTATATTTTTGTCTGTGAAGGATTATGATTAATGAGACTACAAGAATAAGATATGATAAAATGGACACACAATTAACGAGTGCCAGGCAAGAATAACATATAGGAATTAAAACAATTCTTGAGCAATTCACTAATTATGCGAGAACCATGTCTGCATTTGACTTCAAAATTGTATTTTAGCTTCACAAAGAAGCGCAGCAATTTCAAATAATCATATTTATATTTATTTTCAATTTGACTATGATCATACTTTAATTACATTGTTATCTTCGTGCAAAAAGAGGAGTACTGTCCATCATACTAAAGAGACAATGTATTTGAGTGCAAATTGTATAAGATAATCGTTCCTAGTTTTTCAAGCAACAGGACAACAAATGATCGAAATTTTTGAATGATCGATAATATTATAACCCACAAATCGATCATAAGAGAACATAAGATACGGGCCATGTGTGCAAACAGGCGGCTAAACAGGGTGGAACAGGGTGTATAAAGTCAGATAAGAGGAAAACTGGGAAATCAATACTAATCAATGAAGCATTGTAAGGAAAAACAGAGTTGAAATGTGATTCAAATTTGTAATTGAAGAAGAAACAGTTAGTTAATTTTCAATATGTGTAGAGTCAATAATTTTGTAGCTGAGTCTAGTAATTATTTTCTCAAGTTTCGATTAACGAAGAAGGTAAAAAAATAACAGAGCCGGATGTATCCAAAAAATGCCATACATGAACGCAGGCATGCATACACGCATACAGATAAACAAAATATGCATTAATAATCGGCTGAAAAAACTTAGAAAACATGTTAGAGTACCTTTCATTTCGTTTGAAGAAGCGAGTGGAAGGTATTTGTAAGTTGGCCTC